TCATATCATATCATATCATATCATATCATATCATATCATATCATATCATATCATATCATATCACAGCCTAGCATAGAATATCATATCTTAGCATAGCATATATCCTGCATATCAGATATTTACATTACAATTCGTGATTCATAAGAGTATCAAAATTACAGTTACGAAGTAGCAGGGAAATTATTTTGTGGGTGGGGGTCACCACAACCTGGGGAACTGTATTAGAGGGTCACAGCGTCACGAAGGTTTCCTCTCCTCACCAGCCCGTCTCAGGCCCTCACCTACAAAGCGAGCCTCCTGTGGTGTGATCCCTGAGGCACTGGGAGAGTTGATGGTGTTCGGATACCTGGTGGCCAGCCCGCAGCAGGTGCCCCAAGGACAGAGCCCCTTCTCTTAGGATGCTGCTCCTCTGACCAGGCTTTCAAGTCCCCAGACCTGGCCACTCAGACCCTAGGACCTCTGTGTGCTTTTCTTGGCCTCTGCAGTTCCCACGGCTGTTTGCCCCGGACATAGAGCTTTCTCTCCCTAGAGAGGTCACACTTTCCTTCTAGTTTAGGCAAGCAGAGGTCTACATAAGGGGGGAACTCATTTCTTAGACAACCACCCATAACATAGGGACAGGGCATCTCTGGCCGGGGAGGGGCTGGCATGACGCTAAAGGGCCTCTCCTACTTTACCCAAACTCACCAGTGCTATACCTCAGTGACTCTGGGTCTATGGAATTCTATACAGAGAGACATGCCTGTGCTGCAGCTCGGTCCTTTCTCTATCTGAACCCCCAAACCAGGAGGGAGGAGGGGGGAGGATGGACACTTACGAATATCAGCCTGCCGGACATTTTTCATGCTAATGACTCTCACTGTCAACAGATGACATGGAGACGGCCCCTCCTGTGGATTGAAAAAAAAAAAATGGAGTCACTGCCCGCCTGTCTCACAGCAACTCCACGCTGTTCTGTCATTGTTTACTTTGGCTTGTCTTCTCTCCTATGTGCAGGCTTCCAGAGCTGAGACATGCTGCTCTTTTCATCTTTGTATCTCTATTCTGATGTGTATGTGTGTGTGTGTACTGTTTGTTAGACAGTGAATGTTCTGGCCCAAGCACAGAAGGAACATTAAGGGAGTCTCAAGATGTTTCAATTCCCTTGGCCCAATGAATAATTTCTTATTCCAGCCACACAGACACAAACTTTTCCCTTGCCCACCCAACATGGCAGCTTGTTCAGAAGGCAGGGGTGGTAGGCATCTGTGAAGCCTGGGCATCTCATGCCAGGAGCTTACTGCCACCCCGGGTCTCAGGATCCTGCTCAAGGTGTTTTGATTTCCCTTGCCTGCCAGGCCCCTTCCTCAAAGCACCCTTCCTGGCCATTGTGCTTCTCTTCTAGCAAGGCACCTGCCTTCATTTCGCCATGCCTTGCTATTAGACGTCTGTGTTGTCTTGGCTCATGTGCAATGCCTGTCTTTCACAATGACGAAAGCATAGATAATCTTCCACATGATGACTGATGGCTGTAAAATGACTCTGTCAGTATTGCTAACCCCAGGGACTGGAGCCCTCAGGTTTCTGCCTCTCCCTTCGTGCTTTACTCTAGCAGCTGGACCTGAGCCTTGCTCATTTGATGCTGATGTTTCACCTGTCTGTGTCTTGTTCCGATCACTTACTCTGGGCCAGGCCATCATGTCCCACCCACCTGAAGCCAGTAGCTGGCTTCCTGATGCCCGGCCCACTGTCTCCATCCTCTGTGAGTTGTTCATTAGCTGCGGGTCCACTTTTGTCCTCTTTCCATTCTGTTACTTTCTGTTTCCCAGATGCCCCCAAACCACACCTCTCCCGCTCTCAGAGGGTCCCTGTATCACATGTACTGCCCATAGAAGGACCATGGCTCTCTTCCTATCATCCTATTCAAGGCTCCCTGCCCCAGGCTTCAAGATTATGTTTCATTCTCCCCTCTGCTTCTGTATGGCTGGTCTTGAGGGACACGTATTCTCACCAACACATGACCCCCGCCACCATGGCATTTAGAGGGTGTCTTCCAGCTGCCTCTCTGCATAGAGGCATCATCTGTCTGTCTTCCGAGTCTTACCCAGGGTTTTTGAACAGCCACTGTGAGCCAGGACCTAGGCTAGATGCTGGAGCCTCAGGGAGGATCCAAAGTAGATTATGGGCAGAGTTAATGTTGAGGACAACAGAGCAAGCTGGCCACGAACTATCGCTGCCTACAACTGGAATGTTCTTGGTGTCAGAAGCCTCTCCACAGACAATTGCATTTCCAGACTCTGGAAAACTCTTCTGGCCTAGAGTCCTAGTCTGTTGAGGTAAGGGGCTATGCTCCTCCAGCCAGCCACCCCCCACCCTGGAGCCAACACAGTGTGAAGCTCCATGCCTCTTTTCTTCAGGTGTCTTGGATTTTTCTTTGGACTTATGCTCTTTTTGCTAAGACCTCAGACATGAAGCCCTTTACCCAAGGATGTTGCTCAGGTGTAGTCCAGTCTTTGCAACTGTCTGCTGCCAGTCTCGGGCTGAGACAAATCCTACAGACTCTCCAGCCTATCATGTCTGTGTGCGGAAGCCTGGGAGCTGGTGTCCATCCACCTCACTCGACACACAGTGCCCAGAGCTTTGAGAAGTGTTCTGTGACTTCTCTGGACAGGCCTAGTGTTTTCTCTTTAAAGAGTATTAAGGTCTGTGGAAAAGCAAAGTTTGCCGTGGAAAGAGCTGGGAGTGAGGGTCCTCAGAATAGTATCACTCAGGGCAATCTGTGTTAGCATTTTTCCATCTTCCTTCCAGACCACTCTGCGACTTCTGTCTAATCAACAGCTGAACAAGGATTCTGAGGAATCAGAGCTCCTCTGTACCTGACAGGGACATGCAATTCCAAGTTCTCTTTTGTCTCTCCAACAGTTGCCTTGAGAAGAGAACAGGAGTCAATCTAACACATGTAGGTCCAAGGATCCCTTCTATGAGTATAACTCTGAAGTCTTTGGCCAATCACTTGCCCAAACAGCATTCTGTTGTGAGCCCTGTGAGTTGGGCCAAAGGCTAAACACAATACTACCTCTTTGTGGTCTGTGGCCTGTGGCCTGCGGCAGGACTTCTCTGGGCAGTGAGCTCCTCATTTCTCATCCTGCCCTGGGCACAGCAGGTCCTGGGCCTGTCTGGCTGACTGAGGAGGCAAGCATCACTTTGCAGAAGGAGCATGTGCTCCTGGAAAGCCTCGTCCTACTCCTCACCTTCTCAGAGGGCCCTGTCTTCTACCCCTAGTGCCTGCCAGTGAGGGTGGCCATTTCTTCCTCCTGTGTCACTCTCTGCTACGAAATGACCATGGGGTCACCACAGACTGTATATATATTCTCTGGAGGTGGGCAGTGGTGGTGGTGGTGATGATGACAATAACAACGATGATGACGACAATGATGATGGCAATATGACAGCTTTTTAAAGGCAAGCTCTCATGTAGCCCAGGCTGCCCGCAAACTCTTGCCTCTACCTTTTTATGCTGGGCTAACCATGTCCAGGTCTCTGTGGATTTTCTTAACTAATTTTTTGCCACCACCTGGAGGCAGTACAGAGAGATAAGAAAAATTCAAGGGGCATGGGAAATCTGGAATCTGATTTTTGTTTGAATACGACTTGCCCTGGAATCTGATTTTTGTTTGAATACGACTGGCAAAATCAGAAGAAATTGCCTGTATGGAGTTAATTCCTGCCTCCAAGGTATCTCAAACAAGAGTGTTAGAAGCAACAACAAAAGCCCAAAAACAGCCAAAAAAAATCTACCACAGACCAGGCTTGCTTACAATAGAACAGAATGCGAGCAGCTTTGGGGTTGGTGACACCGGTCTTCCTCCAGCCCTGTGCTGAGTGACGCACCACACAAGCCTTACAATTTCATCTGTAACGGGACATCATTCAAAACGAAGAAGAGAAGTAAACCAGCTCATTATTATTATTTTTTTTTTTACCTAAGTTTTAAATTTTTTAAAATCTTTGAGCCTGATAGTAAATTACCTCCTTTAAGCAATATCACGTTAAAAGCCACACATCACTTATATGTTATGTGTGTGCATAATCACTAGAACTCTCTAGTGTTTCGAGACATGAGCTCAGGTAACCCAGGTTGGCCTTGAACTCGTTATGTAGCTCATGCTAACTTTGAACCGGCCTTCCTGCCTTCTTTCACCTCCTGAGTGCTGAGAGTTATAGGCATGGGCCACCCAACCGCTTAGGCACATTTTTCTTTTGATTTTTTTTGCGCTTAAAGTATCTCAAGTCTCTCTCCCCTCGCCTTTCCTCCCTGCCTGCCTCCCTCCCTCTTTCTCTTTCTCCATCTCTCCTCTTTACTTAGTAAACCCAACTCAGCCTCATGCTGACTTGTCCTGGAATTCTTTTCCTCATTACAAAGCTGGCCACACCGCAAGGGAGGGGCCCTCCTGGGGCACCCCTAGGCCTACAGCCCATGGCACCCTGTGGTGTCCGGCAAGGCAGCTAACCCCTGCGGAGGCAGTTATTGCTAGCTTTGCGTCACAGCCAGAGAACCTGGGACTAAGTCTTTTTATCCACAGCTCTCAGCCAGGGTCAGAGTTTGAACTCACCTCTATGCTCAGACCCAGATTCATTTCCACTGTTACCCTCTTGCCTGCGTGTCTTCCCACAGACAGGAAGCAGATGTTTCTTGCTCTCAACTCCACTGCCTTGATCTCCTCACAAGACTAATTTACAGGCCGATGTCTACTTTCCACCCCGAATTCTCATGGAGCTCTCTACCAACCCTCAAACTTGGCAATCCTTCTACAGGCTGTAGCCTTCTTGGCTGTATTTCTATATACAAGCTCCATGATCTTTTTCTTTGTGAGCACCCAGAGCACAACTTAAACATTCAAGGTCTTCACAAACATTTTTATTCGCTAACAAACACAAAGGGCACCTTGTGGTCTGCCTTACTCTTCAGATTTCATCTAGAAATTCCTTATCCTGGCTCAGCTGTCACCAACTACCTACCTCTTCTCACTTTGCTATCACAGACTCAGCTGGCTTTTTTTTCTCTTTTCTTTTCTTTCTTCTTTCTTTCTTTCTTTCTTTCTTTCTTTCTTTCTTTCTTTCTTTCTTTTAAATAACCTCTCCTGTTCCCAGAAATCCAAGAGGCAACCAACACTGAGGGTCATAGGGTTCTATGATCCAAGCAGTTCTAACAGAGCGAAGAATTCCTTTTGTTTCTTTCTTTGTTTTTATTTTTGTTTTTAGAGACAGTGTTTCCCTGTGTGGACCTCGCTGTCCTGCAACTCACTCTGCACACAAGACCGGCCTTGAACTCACAGAGATCCACCTGCCTCTGCCTCCCTAGTGCTGGGATTACAGGCCTACCAGCTAAGAATTTCTAACAGGCCACTTGACTAGCAAGTGGGGATCCTTTAAAGGGCCAGGCATACCAGATAAATCACACTACAGGGCTTAGGGGCATCCTAAGATCTAGGTGTATGACTTTGGAAGTCCCCCAGTGGTGAGTGATGCAAGCCAGTGATATCAGGACTCAAGAAGCAAAAGCAGGAAAACAAACACTCTCCCATCCCTATGCACACAAACACACGCACACATGCGCCTTTGTTTGGGAAGGAAGTACATTTTTTTGCTCCAGATATAAAAGCTTTTTATAAGTGGTATTGGATGATGAAACATTCATGGCCTCAGGGGAAGCTGATCTATGGTAAAAAGATAGACTAGAAGGGCTGGAGAGATGGCTCAGTGGTAAAGAGCACTGGCTGTTCTTCAAGAGGACCCACGTTTGATTTCCGCAGCTCACAACTGTCTGCAACTCTAGTTCCAGGGGATCTGACACCCTTTTCTGTCCGTCAGCGGTGCCGCATGCATGTGATACACAGACATACACACAGGC